AAGCTGGACTCAGAAACAGTTCATCTAGATAATTCCAAGCAAGAGAAACCCTAAGAAACTGATAAAACATACACACACACACACACACACACACACACACACCCAAAAACACAAGAAACCAAAAAACACACACAAAATAAAAGTCCCTGTTTATTTTAGCTAAAGAGACTTCACTTCAGTATAAAAAACAGTAAGAGTTAATTATCTCAAAAAATTAAAAAGAAAAATACCCACACTCTAGTCTGTTCCAAGTCTCGGCCATACAATGCACAAGTTTTGTTTGATAACTGCTATTTTAAGTAGAACAGCTACAGGAATGGAATGCAGCAACAATTACAGATCTGAAGCTACCATCGCAAAATGAAACTTGGATCATTTGTAATCTTTACTGCCAAAGCAAAGCCAAATAAATTTCAGTTAGGTTAATCCCATTAAGATCTAACATTGTTATCCTTTTTTAAGTGAAAATACATTTAATTAGATCACAGGAATGAAGAGAGTCTGGTTCTGCCACTTCACCATCCATTTCTTGGATCTTATGGACACGACATGAATATAGGAAGGACTATTTGCTTCTGGTACTTTTGTCTCTTTCTTTCTCTTTAACCCTTCCTTGCAGCCATATTTACTAGAATTCTACAGTATCTTGACACCAAAGATCCTGCAAGGGGAGAAAATCTCTTCAGAAATAAAGATGAGTAAAATGTTTGCCATTGCTACCACATCCCTCATCCCTTCAGCAACAGAGGTCTTCATAGAATAAAGGCTTCAGCAACGAATCATGACAAGTCAGTCTGCTGCCAGATCTGATCACCTATTTCTTTTGGATCACTAAACAAAAGCTAACCAGGCAAATTAACTTTGTCCGTAGGAAATGCATTATAAATCTCATCTCAATGCTGAAGAAGAGGAGAAAAATCAATGGTACCATGGTCAAAACAACAAGACAAGGGAAAGCCTTGTCCTGGTCTTGAATAAGATCTTTTACTATGGCAAGGTCTTTTACTATGGCAGGTCACAAATAGCCATTTTGGTGGAAAATAATACACAGAGAGAGAGAGAAGGCAGTATGATATATAATTAAGTGTTAAGCTAACTTTGGGGGTGCTAGAACAAAGAATGATCAAAAGCAGCTCATGAGAAGTTTCTAGCACATCTTTAATGTGTCTGCATGAAACATAATCTGCATGGGACACAAATGCCAAGGAGTCGACTCTTACAAGATGTACCCATCTTATTTAGTGCAATCTAAAAGCATAAACACAAAAAGTTTCAATAAAATTTGAATTCCTTTTCTGGTTCTTCAAAGGTAAGGGTTTTTTTTAATTCATTCTGAGTATGGGTTTTGTTGGGATTAGAAACAGGTGGCACATGAATATTTGGTATTGCTGACAGTGAGTCTGCATATCAACAGAAAACAGAAATTTTCCAATCACAACAATCATATATTGTAATCACATACAAAATAGCCTTTTCAATTTCCCTCAGTGAGAAACACTTTTCAAAAGGCCTAAGGATTAGCCTCAAGGCCAACACACCTCTTCAATAACCTGTTGCGTAGTGATTATTCCACAAAAAGCGTTTGGGAAATACACAAATGTATGAGTATTTTCCTAAGAGGCACATTAAATAGTTTACTGTAACAAATCAGTTTTCAAACGTCTGCTATCAATTAAAAACAAATTCTTGAATTGATTAATTTTTTCCCATTTTGGAAAATGAAATTGGGTATTTATTTCTGCCACATCTGCCATCAGCAAGAAGGAAAGGACAAAAAGTAAAATAAACATTGGCACCAAAAACGCTTACTTCTTCCCCGCATTTTCTATTGGAAAAATAGTCTGCTACCACTCAAGACTGGGGTTCTATTTATTTTTAAATGAGGCCCACGAAAGCTCCCAAGTGCAACTCAGATTTACATCTGGTTAATCCTGCAAATGTGACTGACCAAATTCATGCTGTTTATTTCTAATGAGTTCTGTGATTTTTGGATAATACTTGTGAAAGATAGCAAATTACCGCTCGTCAGCAGCATGCAGGCAAAACACTGTCTTGGGAAGCCAGTGTGAGCAAATCTTCTAAGTCAATTTCTAATCACACTTGCCAGAAACTTGGGGGAGAAAGGTGATAATCCCTGCCAAGAAAAATCAGTAGAACTTGTTTCCCTTTCCTTTTTCCATGGACTATTTCAACACTCAACCAACAAATACAGCCCAACCTTTCCTTTCCACGACTTCAGACACTGCAAGGAAGGCTCTGGTCTCGTTGATAGTCTCAAAAATTAGAACGCCTCACTCTGCAAAATGTCCTATCAGTCTCTCTTGAGTTCCTTCCCTTGAGGTATAACCATTTACAGGAAGGAGAAAGAAGGAGGTGAAAGAGGGTGTCATTTGCATCCTTTAAAAAAATGCATATTCTGCCCAAGACACCTACGGGTGAGTAGATAAACCATATTCAAATCTCCTTACCTAGACAAAAACTGGCCAGAAAGAGTCTAGATTAAGTCAGCAGTAGCTCAAAACAACAAACAAAAAACTCTAGAGGTGGCAGAAAAAAACTCCCCCAAACCAGGTTGCTAGTGGCTTAAGAACCAGAGTTCACAAAGCACTTACTCGTTTGAAAGCTAAGACCCCTGAGTGCAGTCTTGCAGGATATTTCCATCTTGGTTTCCCAACTGACTCCCAAGCCAAACACAAGCCTAGACCTGTGGTTTTGAGCCTTGGCTGCAATTAGAATCACCTGAAGCGCCTTTAAATCTTGTTGTTACTGGGATGACGCCCCCACCCCCCGCCCCACCCACAACCCCAATTGAAACCAGAATTTCCTGGGGTCAGGCCAGGGCACCAGTGTTTTTCACAGCCCTCCTGGGTGATTCGACAGTGCTGCCAGCAGTTGAGGACCACAGCTTTATAAGTATGCTTTTTAAAAAAGAAGCTGGTTTCTCTATCAAATACACCAGATCTCTAATTTCACTCCCTCTGTCCTGTTCCAGAAAATTACGATCAGCACTTCCAATCCCTGCTCTCCTATGCACTTCCTAGCGCAGGAGCAGTCTGTGTGTGCCGCCCTCCACACCTAGAAATGGAAGCCGGCTTGACACAGGCGCTACACGGCAATAGAAGGCTGGACCCCATCCTGGTGACCCAGGTGTGCGAGTACAATATGCTGGGATGCTAAAGACAAATGCAAAGCAGGGCGTGTAAAGGGCATAGAACGTTGGTTTTCTCTACACCTGTGGCTCTCTTAACTCTGCCGTGCATTGGAATCACCTGCAAGGCTTGAGAAACCACTACAGTCCCACAATCACTGATCTCCATCAGCTGCAGGGTCTAATGATCTGCATCTCTTCCAGGTTCCCAGGTGTCGCTGATGCTGCCGGTCTTGGGACCACATTTTGAGAACCACTGCTCTAGAGTAAACCTCTGGCGTCGTAAAACATTTGGAATGCCAAAAAGAAATCTGTTTTTGTTAGTATCTCTCTCTATACTTGTATTCCGATTATAATCGGAATATCGAACACTAGTTGGGTATTTGATATGAAGGACTTAACTCGGGTTTGAGGTGTTTTCTGTTTTGGCTTCGGGGCAGCTCTTCATAATTTTGTTGTTGTTGGTTTTGTTTCGTTTTTTGAGACAGGGTCTTGCTCTGTCATCCAGGCCAGAGTGCAGTGGCATAATCACAACTCACTGCAGCCTTAAACTCCTGAGTGCAAGTGATCCTGCCTCAGCTTACCAAGTGGCTGGAACTACAGGCATGTGCCACCATGACTGGCTAAAAAAACATGTAAATTTATTATTATTATTTTATTTTTTTAGAGTTGGGAGTCTCGCTGTGTTGCCCAGGCTGGTCTCAAACCCCTGGGGTCAAGCCATCTTCCCACCTTGGTCTCCTAAACTGCTGGCATTTCAGTGAACTACCCTACCCGGCCTTAACTACTGTTTTAAGTGCAAAAATGGTGTTGTGTTTATATTTAAAACAAAAGTAAGGAGTTCTGGTCATTGTGGCGGCTCACACTTGTAATCCCAGCAGTTCGGGAAGCTGAGGCAGGCGGGTCATCTGAGTTCAGGAGTTCAAGACCAGCCTGGCCAACATGGCGAAACCCTGACTCTACTAAAAATACAAAAATTAGCTGGGCATGGTGGCGTGCACCTGCAATCCCAGCTACTTCAGAGGCTGATTGAGGCAGGAGAATCACTTGAACCTGAAAGGTGGGGGTTGCATTGAGCTGAGAACACATTACTGCACTCCAGCCTGGGCAACACAGTGAGACTCTGTCTTTAAAAAATAAATAAATAAAATAATTCTCTTTAAGATATATATTAGGAAAGACACATATTGGGGAAAAAAAAGTGTAAAATATGCCGAGCGTGGTGGCTCATGCCTGTAATCCCAGCTCTTTGGGAGGCCAAGATGAGTGGATCATCTGTGGTCAGGAGTTTGAGACCGGCCTGGCCAATGCAGTAAAACCCCATCTCTACTGAAAATAAAAAATTAGCCAGGTGTGGTGGCAGGTGCCCATAATCCCAGCTATTCAGGAGGCTGAGGCAGGAGAATCACTTGAACCTGGGAGGCAGAGGTTACAGTGAGCCGAGATCGCACCATGGTACTCCAGACTGAGCAACAGGAGCAAAACTGTCTCAAAAAAAAAAAAAAAAAAAAAAAGTTTAAAACACTGGAGACAGTTTGACATTGGCCAAGTGCCCCAGCCTCCCTCTACAGAGGGAAGCCTTATCCTGAAGTTAGAGCTTACCACTCCATGCATGTTTTATATCATTACAGTGTTACAATGTGTATGAATACCTAAAAATGATTCCAAAAAAAGAAAAAGAGCATAGATAGGAAATGAATCAATCAATGAATGAAAAAAAAGGAGAAGAAGGCAGTGGGGGTCATCAGGAAGTCTGCAGCAGCCAGGGAAGGGCAGGCAGCAAGCTGTAGCCACGAAGGGAGTCAGGGTGGTCCTTTACCTGGAAATCTTCCTCATCCATGAAGTCTCTTACCTGAATATACTGGGTGTTAACACATCTGGAGTCACCTGAGGGTGCTAGGAGAGAAAGGGAAACTGAGTCAAAAGTTGTGAAAGTAAACTGACGGCGGACACAGTAGGGGAAGGTTCACTACACATTTCTATGTACTCTGAAGCTTCCTAGAAGAAGACCTGGAAAGGCGAGTGTTTTCTACCCTTAAGACTGTCACTGCTCTTGACTGTTCTAGAGCCACGACAGGGACTCAGCGCAGAATGCCACATCCTCCTCACACCTGGAGTAGAGCCGGACGCATTCAGTGAGGCACGATGTCCGGACCAGCTCTGCTACTCCTAAGGCATTGCGAGAGTCATTAAGCCTTTCTGGGCTTAGATTTCATTATCTGGAGATTTTATGGGATTCTCTGGAGTGACTCCCAAAATTAATGGAACATCACTACCCTTGGAAAACTACTAAGTACTCAGATGTAATGAGAAGAAAAGGAGCTAACGTAGATAAGCTAGATGCTAGATATTTATTTTGTATAGTTTACTTCATTTAACCTCGGAAACAATTTTGTAAAGCTAGTATCAACAGCATTAGAAGACCACACTGGGGCTGAGCGTGTGCAGTAACTTGCCCAAAGGTCACAGAGCTAGCAGCAGCAGAGCCACAGATCAAAATCTGGACCTGGGGCTGGGTTCACAGGCTCATGCCTGTAATCCCAGCACTTTGGGAGGCTGAGGTAGGCGGATCACCTGAGCTCGGGAGGTCGAGACCAGCCTGACCAACATGGAAAACACCCATCTCTACTAAAAATACAAAATTAGCTGGGTTTGATGGCGCATGCCTGTAATCCCATCTACTCGGGAGACTGAGGCAGGAGAATCACTTGAACCAAGGAGGCGGTGGTTGCGGTGAGCCAAGATCGCACCACTCCACTGCAGCCTGGGCAGCAAAAGCAAAACTCTGTCTTAAAAAAAAAAAAATCTAGGCCGGGTGCGGTGGCTCACGCCTGTTATCCCAGCACTTTGGGAGGCTGAGGCGGGTGGATCACGAGGTCAAGAGATTGAGACCATCCTGGTCAACATGGTGAAACCCTGTCTCTTAAAAATACAAAAATTAGCTGGGCATGCTGGCGCGCGCCTGTAGTCCCAGCTACTCGGGAGACTGAGGCAGGAGAATTGCTTGAACCCAGAAGATGGAGGTTGCGGTGAGCCGAGATCACGCCATTGAACTCCAGCCTGGGTAACAAGAGCGAAACTCCGTCTCAAAAAAAAAAAAAAAAAAATCTAGACCTGGTTGACTCCAAGAGGTTTTTCCCACTATACTATGGGCCCTCTACTGAATGGCATCCTTTGCTGGTAGAGTCACACCAAAGCCATAGGAAATTTTAACTCTAGGACTTAAAAAGAAGTGCAAGATTCTATCACGTCAGGTTTGTTTTCCATGCCCAGGCTTATCATTTAAAGAAATCTGGCATTTTGTGGAAATGTATTTGATGATAAAATAATTGCCCAGCAGAATACCTAACACAATTAGCTTATAATATTTCTTTTTACTTAAAAATTTATCTTTCTCTGATACTCCTCTTAAACACACACACACACACACACACACACACACACATTTTATAGCAGGGGTTGATGTCTTTTTCTTGAGACAGGGTCTCACCCTGTCACCCAGGCTGGAGGGCAGTGGCGTGATCATGGATCACTGCAGCCTGGACCTCAATAGGTTATGTCTTTTTTTTTTGAGACGGAGTTTCGCTCTTGTTACCCAGGCTGGAGTGCAATGGCGCGATCTCAGCTAACCACAACCTCCGCCTCCTGGGTTCAGGCAATTCTCCTGCCTCAGCCTCCTGAGTAGCTGGGATTACAGGCACGCACCACCACGCCCAGCTGATTTTTTGTATCTTTAGTAGAGACGGGGTTTCACCATGTTTACCAGGATGGTCTCGATCTCTTGACCTCGTGATCCACCCGCCTCGGCCTCCCAAAGTGCTGGGATTACAGGCTTGAGCCACTGCGCCCAGCCAGGTAACGTCTTTACACAAGAAGGAAGCTTCCAAGATTTGCTCTCCTTGAACATTTTTAGAGGCTACACTCCAAAGCACCTGATTCCAAGAGCAAGTATCTTGGCAAGTCATGAAAGATTTGACTATTTCCCATAGAGTGGCTTTTAAAAAGGAGAAATAATTGTCTAGAGGTTAGAAAAAAAAAATCCACATTCTATTAGGCCGAGGCAACGAAGCAGCTTCAGTAGGTGAAGACATTGACCTGGCTTTCCGGGGCTCAAGGTCATTTTTCTCCCCATACAGGGATTAATTGGCGAAACATTCGTCCAGTGGATCAGGCAGCAAGACAACCTATTAGATACATCAGTGGCCTGATCTGGGACACAGCTGCTCAGCTCCCTACAGACCTAAAATAATTCAGCATTATCGACCGCCCCTCCCCCATTAGGTATAATTAATGTTATGAAATGGAGAAAATAAGCATGGGTAAATAAAATGGCTGACACACACCACGCACAGCAGAAAATGCCAGCAGCGCACAGCACACCAGTTCCCACTGCCCTCGAGGCGCTAATGAGGGAGTTCTGCACGGATTGCATTAAAAAGCCTCCTACACTTACCCAGCCCTAACCCCAGTCCAGACTTCTCCCACTCAGCAGCAGGAGGGCCTTGCTAATTGGAATCTGTAGAACACGTGGCCTGAAATTTGTTGTGGCAGCACACACCTCCACGGCACCCTGACAGACACACAGACACACGCACACAAACACACACATCCACACACTACCCTCAGATTTCTAAACGTGACAATAAATAGAACCTTTAAAATTAAAGTGCACGTTTGCGTGATCGTGCCAAACACAAAGGCAGGTGGAGGTGGTTTTGTAAGCGTACATCTCCCCGGAAGGCTGCTGGGAACCGCCAGAGCTGGTAACAACCAAGACCCATGGTGAAGAGAGACCCTCTCACCGCATCAGCTGGTAGTTGTAAGGGAAGATGGTTGCTCTGAATTTCCCTTTATACACAGCAACGTCCAAAAAAAATCCCTATTTTCTTAGAACATCTTTATGTAGAAAAGCCTGCATGCCTTTGAAGCCTCAACACAAAACAAACTAGCGTCTTTACAAGTCCCGTCCGGCCACCCAGGGAGAATCAAATAGTATTTTTTTCTCCAGTAGGCCACCCCAGGATACCACAGATAAAAATGAGAAGGAGGAATTCATCACATAACTGGGTGTATTTTGCTAGTGTAGTCATTATACTGTTTTAATCTAAATATTATGGTATATTTTTAACTGGCAAAACCCAAGAAGATCTAATGATTCATTTCTTGGACAGGAAAAGTTCTGAAATAGCAGAAAACAGGTTAAAATCTAGGAAACAGCAGAGAAGGGGAAGATGAAGGAGTTGCTTTTTTTTTTTTTTTTTTTTTTTTTTCAGAATCCCAAGAATTGAGCAGAGGTTTTTTTAAAAAGTGCTGATGTTCAGAATGGTAGGATGGGGAGCCAGAGCCCTGAATTCCTTAGCACAGAAGCCCAGAGATGAAAATGCTCAAGGGCTTAGGCTGCAGGAGACATCTGGGGAGAGGAGTTTCCTCAGCACCACATGGAAGAGCTTAGGAGCATGGAAGAATCAAAAGAAGGTCTCAGAGTCATAAACATCCTGAAACGTACTTCGCTGATCACGTCTCCACTCTGCACAAAATCTCTTTTGGGCCAAATAAAGACCAGACCCTATAATCCCAAACTGTCATCCCAGGCTCCGTTTCCACTGCTACCATGAAGGGACACTGTGCTCCAGTGCCACCCAAGTCCATGCTATTTCTCAGTACTCAGGACACTTCCACCCATTATGCCAGGGCACTGATGGTCTTCTTTGCCTGAAATATCCTGGGCCAAGTGCAGTGGCTCACACCTGTAATCCCAGCACTTTGGGAGGCTGAGGCAGGGGGATCACTTGAGCTCAGGGGTTCAAGACCAGCCTGGGCAACATGGTGAAACTCCTTATCTACAAAATTACAAAATTAGCTGGACATGGTGGTGCATGCCTGTGATCCCAGGTACTCTGGAGGCTGAGGTGGGAGGATCGCTTGGGTATGGAAGGTGGAGGTTGCAGTGAGCTGATACCGCAGCAGTGCACTCCAGCCTCGGTGACAGAACAAGACCCTGACTCGAAAAGAAAGGGGAGAAGGGAAGAAGGGGATGGGAAGGTAGGGGAGGAGAGAGATATCCTGCTATCCTCTTCTTTCTACGGACTCAATTTTTTTTTTTTTTTTTTTTGGAGACAGAGTTTCACTCTTGTTGCCCAGGCTGGAGTGCAAAGGTGCGAACTTGGCTCTCTGCAACCTCCGCCTCCCGGGTTCAAGCGATTCTCCTGCCTCAGCCTCCCAAGTAGCTAGGATTACAGGCATGTGACACCACGTCTGGCTAATTTCGTAGTTTTAGTACAGACGTGGTTTCTCCATGCTGGTCAGGTTGGTCTTGAACTCCTGATCTCAGGTGATCCGCCCGCCTCAACCTCCCAAAGTGCTGGGATTACAGGAGTGAGCCAAAGCGCCTGGCCACTGACTCAATTCTTTAAGACAACGAGATGAAAAGGGGTTGACAGACCTCCTCTTGATCACAACTCTGCTGCAGTGCAGCCGGGTGACTTGGGGCCAGTTACTTAATCTCCTTTCCCGCCTCAGTTTCTTCAACTGCTAAAGAGGGATAGTAAAGTGAAGAAAATCCACTACTTTGAACATTGAATGAAATGAGGATGCTAATCCACTAAAGATTTAATAAATGCCAGTTTGCTCTCTTCAAACACGAGCGCCACCTTCCCTCTTAAGCCTTCCTTAACACCTGCAGCCAAAACTCATCTTCCCTTTCTTGAAATTCCCATCACACAACAACCGCAGCTCTGTTTGGTTCTTGATCATTCTCTACTCACATTTTTGCCATGTTTCTATATGACAGCACACCCACCAGACTGTGTGCTTTCGGAAGGCAGACCCATGTTTAATTCATGTTTGCATTCTTTCCAATTGTCTTGCTCAAACTGTAATCAAACAGTAAGAATCAT